CAAGTTCAGCTCCCAACACCCAAGTCAAGTGGCTCAGTACTGTCTGTAACTCCAGCTCCAGGGTGCACATACCCACATGCAGTCACACACCTACACATATTAAAATGTTAAAAAAATTAAATATTCAAATATCTTCCAACATGTGAAGTGAGCCAGAGGCAAGAGGGAACCATCTCTGGGTTTCTGGATCCTGGGTCCTTTGACTAAGAGTAAGTTGGGGGCAGTATTGGGAGATCAAGAAATACTTCAAGATGGAGCCACACACAAAACTTGAGTTTTGAAAAGTCCTGGCCACCAGACTCAACCTGAAGGAGAAACAAGTTGAGACTTGGTTTGGCTTCCAGCACCAACACAGTGGTTCACAACCATCAGTAACTCCAGTTCTGGGGCTTCTGACACCTTCTTCTGGCTTCTGGAGGCACCAGGCACACATACAGTGCACATATAAATGGGCAAGCAAACCACTCACACACCTAAACTTATAAAAACTTTAAAAAAATTTAAAGAAACTCTTTGTCTTAATTTAGGTTTGTATTGCTGTGAAGAGACGTCATGACCACAATAACTCTTATAAGGAAAACATTTCATTGGGGCTGTCTAACAGTCCAGAGGTTTAGTCCATTATTGTCATGGTAGGAAACATGGCAACATCAGGCAGAAACGGTGCTAGAGAAGGAGCTGAGAGTTCTACATCTGGATGGGCAGGCAGCAGGAAGAGAGAGAGACACTGGGCCTGGCTTCAGCTTCTGAAACTCCAAAGCCCACCCACAGTGACATACTTCCTCCAACAAGGCCACACCTTGAGGGACATTTTCATTCAAACCACTACATTCTTATTTTGTTATGACTCAATTTCCCCAAGTGGTTAAAGTCAAATATAGTTAACAAAAAACAAGGCCAGGTGTTGTGGCACACATATTAATTCCAGCACTCAAGAAGCAGAGGCAGGTGGATCTCTTTGAAATTGAGGCCATCTTGGTATATGTAGTGAGTTCTAGGACAGCCAGGGCTATATAGGGTAACCTTGTCTCAACAAAACAAACAGAAAGATTGACAAAAATGCAAGATATTATATTGATTAGATTTATATTCATTGTCTTTTAAGACTCTTTGTCATTGGGCTATGGTGGTACAAACCTTTAATCCTAGACTCACAGAGGCTGGCAGATCTCTGTGAGTTTGAGGCCAGCCTGGTCTATAGAGTGAGTTCCAGGACAGCCAGAGCTGTTACACAGAGAAAACTTCTTTCAAAGACAAAACAAAACAAAACAAAAGACTCTGTTAATATTACCACAAGTGGACAAGTATAATCATAGAAATTTTATCATAAACACAGACCATCCTTAGGTCATTTTCCAGAAACCTTGCACAACTCACTCAGATCTTCTGAGCTTAGCTTTTAGCTTTAACTTTTCTTAGTTTTATTTTCATCTTTGATTTTCAGGCTCGGGGGTAAAATATAATTTTATTATATAAAATTCATTTTTATTTATTAAAAATATATTTTACCTATCTCTTTAAAGAACTTTTATCTCATTTACACTATTATTATTTCATTTCTTTAAACAAGCATTGGTTCCAAAGTATATATATGGTACATTTTTTTAGTTCTTTTCTCTGTATAGGACTGGCTGTCCTGGAACTCATTCTGTAGACCAGGCTGACCTCAAACTCACAGAATCCACCTGCCTTTGCCTCCTGGGTTCTAGGTTTAAAGGCATGGCCCATCACCATACAACTACATGGTACATTTTAACAAAGTAAGATCACCTATATATATATTTTCAAGCTTTGAAAACCTTCTTCTCTCATATTACATTGTTGTGGGATAATGCTTTTGTATATTGGTTTAATAAAATGCTGACCAGACAGTAGCCAGACAGGAAGTATAGGCAGGATAAGCTGACAAGGAGAATTCCGAGAGGAAGGCTGATTTGTGAGACACTAGCCCACAGTCCAGGGTGCAGCATGTAATGGTATACAAGTAAAGCCTCAGAATACATGGTGACATATAGATTAACAGAAATGGGCTGAGTTTAAGTGTAAGAGCTAGTCAGTAGTTAGCCTGAGCTAATGGCCAAAGAGTTTTAATTAATATAAGCCTCTGTGTGTTTATTTGAGTCTGAGCGTCTGCAGGCCCAGGTGGGACAGGAGAAAACAGCAGCTACATTACATCCTGGCAGTTTCCCCTCCCTCTACTCCCCTCCCTAACACCTACCACCACCCCTCTGTCCCAGAATCACTTCAATGTTTCCCTTAAGAAAAGAGCTGACCTCCCAGGGATATCAGTGGAATACAGCACAGCAAGTTACAACAAGAATATGAACAAACCCTCATATCAAGGTTGAACAAGGCCACCCAGTAGGAAGAAAAGGGTCCCAAGAAAAGGCAAAAGAGCCAGAGACAGCCCCAGTCCCACTGTTAGGAGTCCCACAAGAGCACCAAGAAGCAGGCTGGGTGGTGGTGGCACACACATTTAATCCCAGCACTCGGGAGGCAGAGACAGGCGAATCTCTCTGAGTTTGAGGCCAGCCTGGGCTACAGAATGAGTTCCAGGAAAGGCACAAAGCTACACAGAGAAACTCTGTCTTGAAAAACCAAAAACCAAAACCAAAACCAAAACAAAACCAAAAACAAAACCTTCATAAAGAGGACCTAACTCAGACCCATACAGGATCTGTGATTGTCACTTCAGTCTCTGGGAGCCACCACGAGCCCTGCTTAGATGATTCTGTGAACTGTGTTCTCCTGGTGTCCTCAAACCCTCTGGCTTCTACAATTCCTCCTCTCCCTCCAAGGGGTTCCTAAATGGCTGAAACACTTGAAGAAATGTTCAACATCCTAAGCTATCATGGAAATGCAGATCAAAACTACTTTGTTATTCCATCTTATATCTGTTAGAACGGCTAAAATACAAATACAAGTGACAGCCCATGCTGGAGAGGATGTGGAGCAAGGGGAACACTTCTTCATTGCTGGCAAGAGTACAGTCTTCACAGCCGCTGTGGAAATCAATATGGTGGTTTCTCAGAAAATTGAGAATCGATCTACCTCAAGACCCAGCTATGCCACTTCTGTGCACATACCCAGAGGACACTCCATTCTACTGCAAGGACACTTGCCCAGCTGTGTTCACTATGGCTTTATCAATAACATCCAGACATTGGAAACTACCTTGATTTGCCTCAACCAAATAATGGATAAAGAAAATGTGACACATTACACAATGGAGTAGTACTCAGCAGTTAAAAAAAAAAGACATCATGAAATTTGCAGGCAAATGGATGGAACTAGAAAAAAATCATCCTGAATGAGGTAACCCAGAACCAGAAAGATAAACATGGTATAAACTCACTTATAAGTAGATATTAGCTATAAAGTAAAGGATACCCATGGGAAAATCCAAGAAACAGAGAGGTTAAGTTACAAGAAGGGCTTAAGGGGGTCATGTTGATCTCCCTGGGAGGGGGAAATAGAATAGATTTGCAGGTGAACTAGGTGATTGTGGAGATGAAAACAGGAAGGATCAAGCCAGGGGTGGGGTGGAGGGAGAGAGTGCATAGAGAGACGACTGGAATTGGGAGGGGGAGTCTATGGAATATGGAATGTGGAAACCTAGTGCAGTGGAAACTCCCTGGAGTCTATGAGGGTGACCCTAGCAAAGACTCCTAATATGGGGAATATGGAACCTGAACAGGTCATCTTCTGTAGTCAGGCAAGACTTTCAGTGGGGAGACTGGGACACCAACCCAGCCACAAGGCCTTTGTCCTGCCTCTAAGGACAATGCTTCTTAAAGTCCTCCAATCTTGGGAAACTCCTGTCCTCTTCTCCCATAGGCTAGGACTTGGCCCATCCCCAATTTCCTGTCCTACTGATTTAGCATACAGAGCCTTATCTGATGAATAATTTGGGGTTTGAGATGGCCCCTTAAATGGCCCTGGGTACAGTCACATAGCAGACAGCCTGGAACTTTCCTGCTCCTAACTAGGGAGAGAGGGGCTCAGTACCTCCTGCTCTGTTCATCTGTAACTCTTTTTTTTTTTTTTTTTTTTTTTTTTTTTTTGGTTTTTCAAGACAGGGTTTCTCCGTGTAGTTTTGTTTCCTGTCCTGGAGATCGCTCTGTAGACCAGGCTAGCCTTGAACTCACAGAGATCCACCTGCCTCTGCCTCCAGAGTGCTGGGATTAAAGGCATGGGCCACCACTGCTCGGCTCATCTGTAACTCTTATGAACTCTGAGTGCACCACATATGAAAATGAGTGGTAACAACTTACTACTTACACAGGCAGCCTAGCTTGTGTGGGAGGATAGTGACCAGGACAGGAGAAGGGAAGGGAAGAGGTGGCTGGAGAACGGGAGGGTCTGGGGAGGAACAGGAGACAATGGCACCTGCTCAAATACAGTTACATGGGACCACTGCAAAGCCAGGCCCTGCCAGCTTGGTCAACACACATTGAGCTCTTCCTGCAGGCCCTGTGTTGCTTTAAGACAGGCAGGGCCTGGATGCTGGCCTCATTCTGGGGACCCCAGGCCTGCTGAGTTGACCAAGGGTCTTTCTGTGTAAACCCTAACTCAGTGCACGGGTGTAGGTCCAAAAAGTGAAGAGGTAAAGAAGGCTCTCGAGGACTTCAAACCATCCCATTTGGTGACAAGGACCACTCAGGTTCATATGGATGCACGGAGTTTATTGGACAGAGATACAGGGTCTTTGAGGCTTTGTCGCCTCAAGCACAAGTCACCTGGTACACTGGTCCCTCCAGGTGGATGAGCTTAACTGAGAGGAGGTCATACAATATGGGGATGCAAGACTGAGCTCTGAGCTCACTAGGACTCCTTCTCATCTTTCTTCTGGTCATCTTCATCATCATCATCATCATCATCATCATCTTCATCATCTTCATCATCATTATGATCATCATTATCATCGTCATCATCATCATCATCATCGTTGTCATCTTCATCTTCGTCTTTATCTTTGCTATCTTCTTTCTCTTTATCACGGTCAGGGATGGTCGTTGGTTCTCTTTGAGGCTTCTCTGGTCCACGAGTCCATTTGAAGCCTATCCCACGGAGGCAGAGGAGTGAGTACATGCCATTGACAGTCTGTAGATGCTGGTCAGGACCTCCACTTGCCTCAATTGACTGGCCCACTTTTTTTCCAAAGGTAAACTCAGTCCCCTTGTTGGTAATGAAGGTCAGGGAGTTCAGGCAGATTCCCACGTTGCCATGAACCTTTATTACATGCTCTCCATCCTTCAGATGAAACTCTTCATAACTTGTTGAATGGCCTCCATAAACATTACTCCAGTGATTTTGAAACTGCAGCTGGATGCTGGAGACAAATCAAGTGTGTTCAACCTCAGGAATGCCTGTTCTCTCTCAAAACTGTTCCCCCTCCTGGTTCCTGGTTCACAGTTCAGTCTCCAGAAGTGCCCAGCTCTGATATGGAAGCCTGGAGTCCTTCCTCCTTCTACCTCTTCCACGCACATCCCTTCTCACAGGTCCTCATAGAGTCTGGCTCAGGTCATGTATCTGTGCCTGGGTGGATAGATCTATCACTGCAGGTAATTCTGAGCCTGAATCCTTTGCAGGGTCTTCCCAAGTCACAGTTTCCCATCTAGAGCCTCCTCCCCTGTCTGACCCAAATGAGGCAGCAGCCACAATGAGACCCCTCTGCTCAGGTCAGCAGACCTTACAGGCAGAGACCAGGGAGATAGGCTCATCTCTCCTAGTGTTGTCAGGAGGGAACAGGAGAGCCCTGGGAGCTGTTCTACCAAGCAAAGAAGTTTTCTAAACTATTGCTAATGTGAACTTCCTTCTCTTGCAAGAAGATGCATACCAAATCATATCACAGGTAAAATGCCGGAAGGATACCCACTTAAACTAGAATTTCAGATAATCATGAGTAATTTCCAGTGTAAGCAGATTTTGTGTTGCATGGTTTATTTGCTTATTTTTGACATTGGTTTATTGTTTATTGATTTATTTGTGTGTGTGTGTGTGTGTGTGTGTGTGTGTGTGTGTGTGTATCCACGCAGGCTCCCATGTGCCAAGGCCTTCGTGGAGGTGAGAGGACAAAGTAGGAATGTTGTTTTCTCCTTCCACTGTGTGGGTTGCAAGGGTCAACTCTGGTCAGTGTGTCAGCAAGAGCCATCTGGCCAGGCTTTACTTCTTCTACTTTTTTTGTTTATTTTTCGAGATAGGGTTTCTTCGTGTAGTTTTGGTGCCTGTCCTGCATCTCCATCTGTAGACCAGGCTGGACTCGAACTCACAGAGAATCACCTGTCTCTTCCTCCCAAGTGCTGGAATTAAAGGCACGGCCACCACCGTCCAGCCAGCCTTTACTTCTTTAGTGGTACTGCAGACTGAACCTAGGGTCACACATGTACTAGGCAAGCCACTAAGCTATATTACCATTTCTCCACCCATTCTTTCTTTCCTTTTTACTTTATTTGAAACAGGATCTCACGCTTTGGCCAGGATTCCCTTGAACTTCCTCATGGTGGAAACCCTCCTGCCTCAGCCTCCTGAGTTCTGACATTATAGACATGAGCCACCATGCTGGGCTCCAACCCTCTCTCTGCATTCTTTTCTGAGAAAAGTTTGACTAAGTTGTCCAGGTTGACCCTGAGGGGCGCTGTAGCACAATTTGACCTCACATTTGATATGGTCTAGCATCAGCATCCTGGGTAGCTGAGATTACAGGATTGTACCACCAGGCCAGGCTCCAATATTGCATTTTAAAAGCATGGCCATAGACTCTCCAGCAGTTGTGAGGATGAGGATCGAGGACTCTAGGGTTAATGCCAGCCTGGGATCCATAGGGACACCCTGTCTCACGAAATTGATGGCTATAGACAAAACACAGTGGTATGTCTTGATTTCAACCTCCAATACCACAAAAGTGGTAGGGGAAGTATAACCATGTTGTCAGTTCTGAATTGTGTGTGTAGGCAGTGTATACATGTCTGTTTGCCTGTGTTGTGGAGGCCAAAGTTAGGGGTTGGGTGTCTTTCCTGATCACTGTCCTTGTGTGTGTGTGTGTGTGTGGTGTGTTTGTGTGGTGTTGTGGTGTGTGTGTGTGTTAGATTGTGATGTGGTATGTGATGTTTGTTGTGTGTGATGTGTGTGGTGTGGTGATGTGTGTGTGTTGTTGTAGTGGTGGTGGTGTGTGTATCTGTCTGTCTATGATGCATATTTTGAGCATGCAGAGGCTAGAGCAGGGCACTGACTATCTTTCTCTCTGGCTATCTGCCTTATTACTTGGAGACAAGGTCTCTCACTGAATGGAAGTTCAGTGTTGCAGCTAGACTGGCTGGCCCAAGAGCTCCTAAGATGTTCCTGTTGCTGCCCCAGTGCTTAACTCACAGTCCCCTCCATCTTCCTTTTACATGGGTTCTGGGAGTCCAACTCAGGTCTTCGTGTTTGCAGAGCAAATGCTCTTTCTTACTTTCTCTGCCATTTTTCCAGGTATACTACCTTATTTTTCCTAGGCAGAGTCTCCAAGTGATCCTGGAATTGCATTTTGGGTAAGACTCTGGCCAGATGAGTCCAGCAGGATCTCCCTGTCTCTGCTCCCACAGCTTTAGGTTTACAGACTTGTGCTGCTGTCCTCAGCGTTCACCCAGGTCCTGGGAACCAAACTTAGGGCCTCGTACTTGCACAGCAAACACCATATCTGCCCATCCTTCTCCCTATCTACCTACTTTGAATTCTCAAAGGATTAAGATGACCTCAGTATTACACAGGAGACACAGTAAAAGAACATCCATTGATCATCTGTGCTGTGGGATGTCTTTCCGTAGGCTGTGAATATGTGTTGCTACCATTGGTTAATAAACAGACTGCTTTGGCCTGTGGTAAGACAGGTTACAGCCAGGAGGAAATCAAAGCAGAGATACAGGGAGAAGAAAGATGGAGTGAGGGGAGATGCTCCAAGCCGCCAAGAGAGCAAGATGTACCAGAACACAGTAAAGACACGAGACTCAAGGCGATACATAGATGAACAGAAATAGATTGATTTAAGATGTAATAGCTAGCTAGCAATAAGCCTGAGCCATAGACCACATAGTTTGCAATTAATATTAAGCCTCTGAATGATTATTATAAGAACGGCTCCTGCAGGACCTGGCAGGACTGAGAAACTTCCATCTACACATCTGAAATTCTATTAACCTTGGGGACTGTGCTTGCATTTAACAAGCTTGGCAACAGTAGCACAAGGCCTTTGAGGCACTCTAGGAGAACAGCAGACCTCATGAGGCAGAAGCTGGTGAGGACAGTCAAGCTCTGGCCTGTCCCTAGGGAATGGCTGGCCTTTCTAGAATAGAGCAAAAGTCCAGAATGGCAGGGTGAACCGCACATCATTTCATGTCCTGTGAAGGTCATTTCATGTCCTGTGAAAGCCGGGACATCTCTCAGGCCATGTAAGCAGTTCCTGTGACTTCCAAGGAGCACTAGGACCACCAGAACTATGGGAGGAGAGACCCTTCAGCCTCTATGATCCTTTCTGAATCACAAAGTTAGAGGTACCTCTCCACCTGCCTCCATGAGGATTGTCTAGTCTGGGCCTAGCCTGGGCATTCCAGCTCTGAGTGGGCTAGCTCAGGTGAGGGTTCTAGACAAGCCACAGGAGCAGGCACAACTGGGGAGTGCTACAGGAAGCCAAGGAGCCAGAGCCCTACTCACCCCTTGAGGCGTCTTAATAGTGAATAGAAGATCCGGATGGCCTTGATTTCCCCCTGCTCTTCACCATGAATGTAGAAATAGCTGCCGACTTTATTGCCCAGTATATCTGGGGAAAGTGAGGCAGAAAACACTCAGGGCCCCTCTCTCACTCAGAGGCCCTTGTGCCTAGGACAGGACACAGGAGGTGAAGGCCACAAAGGAGGTAAGGTACTCACTCTGGGCTCTGCAGGTGGCACCAGCAAGGACAGCCAAGGTCAGCAACAGCAGCATGGCTCCTGAGGGTTTGGGGCACAAGTCTGATGCTTAGAGCCACAGGGAGATGACAAGACTTCAGAAAGGCTCTGAGGAAAAGACACCAGATTTAAGGGACCTCCATACCCCAGATTGAGACAAGGGAACATTTGGGAACCCTCTTTTTCCACATCTCTAAAGGCTTCAGAAGGGCCCAGGGATGGTTTCCCCCACATGCCCACACTGCAACCCCCCAATGTCACTGTGCTTCCATTCCAACTCAGCTCTTAGCAAGAGATCCCATGATGTCATATCACACTGGGCTCCCCAAAGTCTAAAGCTACTCCTGGAGAAACCCCATGTTCCAAACCGCTCCATCTGTCCCTCATGGTTCAGTCTCTATCTGGCTCAACCTATCCTCCGTTTCCCCTCTGGCCTCTCCTGCTGCACCAGGCTGGACTGCTGCTCCTTCCTTACCTGTGCTGTGTGGTCTGAGCTCCTTGGGTGGTTCCTTTATACGGACACCACTCAGTCATAGTGGCTGTGGGAATGATTTCTGGAAATGCCTTGTCAGCTGGCCTTCAGAAATTGAACTTTTGGCCAACTTTGCAACCATTTAAAACTATGTACCCAGTATGCTTTCTTCCTGTGTACTCAACTTGTTTAAATTTATCTTGACTTTAAGAAAACAATGTAACCAACCTTACTGTGCCTGCGACTCCCATGTAATCACATTTTACTAGGTACACTGAACAAACTGTTCAAAGGGGCTAGGTCATATACAGCTAGGGAACTCAGAAGGGGACATCAGGTTAGGAATTATGAAGGAGAGAGGTGTTTCAGAGGAAGATAAAGAAAGGAGGGCCAGGAATGATAGAGAAGAGTTTCTTTCTTCCCCTTCTCCTCCTCCCTGCCCTCCTTCTCCCTTTCCTCCTCCTGCTCCAGAAGATACGGACTTGGAAAAAAGGGAAGTTGCAGAACAGACTGTTACACAAAAGCTGTTCTGAGAGCAAGCCAAGTTCCTCACACAAGAGCCACTGATCTAATCTATGTGTTTCCTGAAGGAACACATCACTTTAGCAATCTCAGCCCTTATTGTGCACTGTTTGCGGTACTCAATAATGCAAGACTTCCTGGTTTGCCAGGAACATCTTGTGACTAAAGTCATGCAAAGGTTGTAAAGCTCCTTCAGGAAAACAACCCTATCAATCACAGAAAACAATCACAGTTTTCTACACTGATCTTTTCAAGGTCTAAGTACTTCCAAAACATAGCTACTTCATTTGATGTTCACACCAGATACAATGACTATACTAAATTTCCCATTACACCCTTTCATCTCCTGACCCAGAATGATCTATGTGTATTTGCCTGTGGTGATAACCTCATTTGCTGTGAGTAGCAGATTGAAGGCAACCTAGAAGATAACAAACACCCACCATAAATGTTGGAAGCATCATAGGAATTCAGGTTGCTAATATCTGTTTATTGTTTTGTTTTGTTTTGTTTTGTTTTTTATGCTATACTTGGTTAGTAGGGGCCAGTAAAGAAATTCCTTCCCTTGTAAAAATCAAAGTCTGGTAAAAGATTCTTTTTGTTTGTTTGTTTCTTGAGGCGGGCTTTTTCTGCGTAGCCCCTCCCTGCCTGTCCTGCAACTCACTCTATAGACCAGGCGGATCTCAAACTCAGAGATTTGCTTGTCTCTGCCTCCCGACTGCTGGGATTAAAGGTGTGAGCCTCCACTGCCTGACATGGTAAAATATTCTGTTTTGTTTTATTTTGTTTTTCCAGACAATGTTTCTCTGTGCAACAGCCCTAGCTGTCCTGGAAGTAGCTCTGTAGACCAGGATGGCCTCCAAGTCACAGAGATCTGCCTGCCTCTGCCTCCCGAGTGCTGGGATTAAAAGATTGTGCCACCACTGCCTGACATGGTAAAGGATTCTTAAGACAAAAATCCCACGTGCCTTTCCCTCCCTTGTTTCAATATGCTGACAAAACAAGCTGTGAGGGTGGTCTTCTGCTCAGCTGAATGGACAGATGAGGTCTGGTTTTCTCTTCTTTAAATGACTGTGCTAGAAATAGGTCCAGGGTTTCAAAAAGCTCCCCAACATGGTACAAAGTCTCTTCTGACCAGAAGCATGTGTTGCTGTCAAAAGTAGGAGAGCAAGCACCCTCAAGCAGGAAATTCAATAGGTTTTTATCCAAGTGCAAGGCAACTGTGACTTTTACCCATTAGCTGGGGCAAAAGGCCTCACAGTTGTTGATTGGTTGTTTGGTTGGTGGGTTAGTTTGAAAAGAATTGGTGCAAAAGAAATGAAGGAAAGCAGGAAGGGGTGGGCTGCTCAAGTTGTGGGACTGTAGCAACCTTCGAATAAACAAGAGTTGTATTGGGCTCTGCATAAGGGCTGGAGAGATGCATGGTGGTTAATAGCACGTGTTACTCTCGAAGAGGACCAGGGTTCAGTTCCCAGGACCTACATGATGGCTCACAAGCATCTGTAACTCCAGGTCCCTGATATCCAATGCCCTCTTCTGTTCTCTGTGAGGACCAGTATGGTGATATTTTATTTGTATTAAAATGTTATTTGTATGTTAATAAATAAAGTTGCCCAGGGGTCAGAGCTATGAGCAAGCCATAGGAAAGCCGGGCGGTGGTGGCGTACGCTTGTAATTCCAGCACTTGGTAGGCAGAGCTAGGTAAGTCTCTGTGTGTTCAGGGATACAGCCAGCATTGGATACACACGCCTTCAATCTCAATACCAACCATAGAAGACCTGGAGGTCTATACAGACAGGCAGTGACGAGGCCGTCATGTGGTTGGGTTTACAACCAATGAGAAGGCAGAACAGAAAGTCTATATAAAGACTTTAACACAGGAAGTAGCTCTCTTTTGGAGAGGTAGGACCACTGCAGGAGGAAGGGTAAGGTTTTAGCTCTTAGCTCTGACCTCTTGGCTTTCTTCTTTGCATTGGTTCTGTGTTTCTTTAATAAGACGGTTGGTTACATCTACAGACCAGTCACACATGTGATACACATGCATGCTTTCAAACAAAACACTCATACATATAAAATAAAATAAAGCTCAAAGTATTTTTTCAGTTTTCCATGCATCATACCAAATGGTGGAGATTTAAAAATTTGGGTAAATATCTTAGAAGGTAGGGGTCATTAAAATATTTACATAAACTTTTTGCAATGTGGAGGAGACTGAATGATATAAAATTATAGAAAATAAAAGTTCTATAGTGTATGATATAAAAGACTAATAATATTCCATGTTTCTTATAAATCAATCCTCTAATTTCTAAACATCCTTTTCTTCAAACTCACTAACAAGGCATTGGCTCTCTTCTTCTGTCTTATCATGGAATAAGAAACATGTGTGGTCGGGCAGTGGTGGTGCAAGCCTTTAATGTCAGCACTTGGGGAGGCAGAGGAAGGCGGATCTCTGAGTTGAAGGCCAGCCTGGTCTACAGAGTGAATTGAGGGACAACCGGGACTACACAGAGAAACCTTATCTCAGAAAAAAAAAGTGTGTGGGTGTGCGCGCGCGCGTGTGTGGGTGTGTGTGTGTGTGTGTGTGTATACATTCATATGCACATTCTCATGTGCTTTTATTGTATTATACTTCTATGCCTTTGAATTAAACCTGTTATATAGCATTTATAGAAATTTTAGACATATAGCTATGTACATTTCAATTTATTTCTTCATCCTGTGAGGGTGCACATGTGCCATTGTACATGCATGCAGGTCAGAGGACAATTGACAGGAGTCAGCTCTCCAGCATCTCCTTCCACCATGTCAGTCCCAGGGATTGAACTCAGGGTATCAGGCTTAGCAGCAAGCACCTTAACTTGCTGAGCCATCCTGTTGGCCCTACACACATTTTAAAGCTATTTTTCATATATTATTATTTGTTATTTTATGTGTGCATACATTTTTAACCATAGCTACATTGGGCACTAAATGTACTTGAATCACTTTGAATGATATTTGTTTATAAAGTGGCCATTTAAAAGACTTCAATATAAACAGATACTTAAATGAACCTTTTCTAAGTACCCAAAATCCTTACCAAAACATCAGAATACATAAGTAACTATCATTTTTTAAATTTATTTTATTTTTAATTATGTATAGATATGAGATGTGTGTGTGCATATGTGTGTGTGTGTGTATGTGTGTGTGTGTGTGTGTCTGTCTGTCTGTCCTGGGGATCCTGAGCCAATACTGATCCCTTCAATAAGCTCCATGGATCCACCTGTGTGCCCCTCACCCCCTGGTTTGGGGGTTATAGCAGCAGGCTGCCCTGCCCAGCTTTTACTCGGGGATCCATACTTGGGTCCTCAGGCTTGCACAGCAAACACTTTCTCAAATGAGCCGTCTCCCCAAGAGGAAAGTTTTCTGCAGCTCTTGATCTATCTAACAACACAAGTGACACCCGATGGCTGCCTAAGCCTCAGATAGCAGTGAGAATTTATCTCCTATAAATGTATGTTCAAGGTGACTCAGGGTGACTCCAGATGAGCTTCACACACCGAATAGAGATAATGACTAAACTAAAGCAAAACTGCCCAAGCAGGTGCACAGAAAGCAAACACATGAACACACTAGCTCACTAAAAACACAGCCACTCAGGCTTGCTCTGTTACTAAAGTCAGACAAGCCCTAGCCACCTCCCTTGAACCACATGTCAATGTCCTTTTAGGCAGTCGGTTAGCTTTACATGGCGGCTTAGTAGTTCAAGATGGAGTCTATGTTACTGGTAACAAAATTTGATATACTTTGTCAACAATTCGGAAACGAGAGTTTGATCTTGAGGGGACTATTCCTCCATTAAAGGCCCCGAGATCTCTTCAAATGAGGCTCATTCCTTTGTTCCCTAGATCACTCAGCCTCTACTGAAGTCTTTGGGAAATAGATATTATCATCGTTTGTCTTGGAAACTCAGTCCTCCAGATAGAAGAAACACGCTGATTACCACCTAAAATTATCTATTAAAAGGCTTTGCCAGGATATCTTGCCTGGAGAGAAAT